GTTGTTTGTTTATTTTGTTTATTTATTTATTTTTTTTGAGACAGGGTTTCTCTATAGCTTTGGAGCCTGTCCTGGATCTTGCTTTGTAGACCAGGCTGGCCTCGAACTCACAGAGATCCACCTGCCTCTGCCTCCTGAGCTCTGGGATCAAAGGCGTGCGCCGCCACCGCCGCCACCACCACCCGGCTGCAGTAAGAGTTCTTAATAAGCGTTGAGCCAGTTCTAGGGCCCCTTTAATGTATAACCTTTCATTTAAAAAAAATATATTTTAAAAACCATGATAATGTGAAATACACACAAGTAGCTACAGTACTGTATAATTTTTAAAAAATAAAAGATTCTATTAAAGAAAAAGAGGACACTTATATATCAAGCCCCTGAGTAAGTTTCAACTACTGCTTCCAGGAAGCCTTGCCATCAAATCTTATTTTCTCAACACTTGGTAATTACCACACAATCTAAGGCACACGGACTACAATTAAGATGACATTTATAGCGCAGGTTCCATGCTTTCTCCAAAGCACTTTCCATGAACGACCCACTTTAACAATGCCACCTCAGCAGGTACTTATAATCACTTTCAGGTGATGCTCAAGGTCATCGGCTAACAGGGGGCAGAGGTGCCACTGGCGTTCAAGCCTCAGTACACCTCCAGAAGAGGATCCGTGGTACAAATGCAATGTGGGTTCAGCTCTCGGCTAGGTCACTCGAGAGCACCGTATACAAAGAGGCCCTGGCCCAGGTACATCCCTGAATCGAATTTCGATCTAATTAGCTTCGCGCGGGCAGGAGAATCACCTTAAAGAGCTCTCCACCAGGGGGAGGAGGATGCATAGGCCCTGCAAAAACAGCGCGAGAGCAGCCCGGGCAAGGAGGGCGGACTCCGAACGACCTCACGCACGCTCCGCTCTCATTTCCACGCCTGGACCAAAGCCTTGTGGGTAGGCAGCATCTCCTGCACTTGAACAGGAGAAAGAGCAGTCTCAGGGCTCAGCTTCTAGGCACCCGTCCTCTACCGGCTTTGAAGCAGGGGGATGAGCCATTCAAAGGCTGGGGTCGCTAGGCCTGGCCTCGTACCTGAGGGAGACGAGTCCTCAGTGAACGCAGGGAAGAGGTTGCAGAAAAGGCCAGCGGCCCCCGATTTCGCGCCCTGCGCCGGCGGCCCCGCCCCCGTCTCCAAGGCAACGCGGCCCGCGCCGGAAGCTGCTCTGTCGTGTTTAGTGCGCGCGCTCTCCCGGGGAATAGAGAGGCCTTTGGCTTCTCTCCGAGCTCGGCTGCTGACGGTTCTCTTGGCCGGAAGTATGGGCGCTTCTTGGATGCGGGTCTCCAGTAACGCCTCCTGCACGAAGCGGCGTGCGGCAGACAGGTGTCGGACTTGGGCATGGTAACACACGTCGGTAATCTCCGCATTAGATCGGCCAATTAGTGCTCTATCTTTGAAGACATAGCTTTGAGAAAAGACTAAGGTTTCATAATAAAAACAAGGAAGACTGTTGGGTGGGTGGGTGAAGATTAGAACCAAGAGGCCGCAGACATAACTCAGAGGTTAAGAGAACTTTTTGCCCATCCAGATTCCCAGCACCTACATGGTGGCTTTTGTTTTTTTTTTGTTTTTTTGTTTTTTTTTTTTTTTTTGGTTTTTCGAGACAGGGTTTCTCTGTGTAGCTTTGCGCCTTTCCTGGAACTCGCTTTGGAGACCAGGCTGGCCTCGAACTCAAAGTGTTTAAAACCATTTATTGGTGGCAACCATCTGTAAGAGGTTGAGGCAGGAGGATCACTGCAGTTTCAAAACAACCAGGCCTATTTAGTAAGTTGCAGTACATACAGCCTTGGCTAGAGTGAGACTATATGAATAGGAAGCAAATAAATAGTGTTTAAATACAGTTGGCTGAACTGTCAAGATGGCTCAGGAGGTAAGCCACCTGTTACTAAGTCATAGAACCTGAACTCAATCCCCAGGACTTCTATGGCAGAAGAGAACTCGCTGAAAAGTCATCCTTTGACCTCTAGCCACAAGCTATGCCCATGCACACACACAAGTAAATAAATAAAAGGTAACAGGAAAATAAATAAATCTGGCCTGGTGGTATATGCCTGTATTCCCTAGCTACTCGGGAGGCTGAGGCAGGAAAAATTACCAATTTTAAAACCACTGTTGAAATTTACAAAGACTTTGTCTCAAAAACAAAACAGCTGGGCCTGGTGGGGTGGCACACACCTTTAATTCCAACACTGAAGAGGCAGCAGGTGAACATGAGTTCCAGGCTAGCCTGGTCTACACAGAAAGTTCAAGGCGAGCTAAGGCTACAAAGCAAGACCTTGTTTCAAAAGTGCCCACAAAAGGGCTGGAGAGATGACTCAGTGGTTAAGAGCACTGACTGCTCTTCCAGAGGATCCAGATCAATTCCCAGCACTCATATGGCAGCTTTAACTTCCAGGGGTCCAGACACCACTGCACATTAAAAAAGAAAAAGAAAAAACTAAACAAAATGAAGTTATGTTTTAGAGAAAACCAACCTTTTGGTGATAACTCACCTGAAGTTATAGCTTCAGGTATTGATAAGGTAATTAGATTAATTTCATAGTCAAAATACTGGAACCATTTTTTAGTTTGCTATAAATTAGTCTTACAAGTATCATCACATAAATCATATAAATTTGATATATCCAGGATTAGAAATGGGTACTTTTTGTTTTGTTTTGTTTTTCGAGATAGTGTTTTTCTGTGTAGTTTTTTTTTTTTTTTCTCTGTGTAGTTTTATGCCTTTCCGGGAACTCACTTTGGAGACCAGGCTGGCCTCGAACTCACAGAGATCTGCCTGCCTCTGCCTCCTGAGTGCTGGGATTAAAGGCATGCACCACCACCGCCCGCCAGAAGTGGGTACGTTTTTTTAATACCTGGTTTTAATTATATGTATGTGTGCTCATGTCTGGTAAGGGAATGTTCGTGTGAGTGCAGATGCCCTGAAAATCCAAGGCATTGGATACCCTGGAGCTGGAGTTATAGGTGGTTATGAGCTGCTCAAAGTGGGTGCAGGGAATCAAACCCGAGTCATCTGCAAGAGCAGTAAGTACTGAGCAGTTTCTCCAGCCACTAAGTGTACTCTGGATTTGAGTTGATTTGCTGATGCTTTTTCCCATTGTGTGCATTCATTACCCTCAGCTTTGACAATCTGAGGAAAAGATAAGCAGTATTTCCATGTGAGTTACAGGAAAACCATCAGTCCTACCAGGAAGATGTAGCGTGTGTTACTTTCTATTGCTGTGATTAACACTGTGGGGAGACCAGACCTACCCAAGACTTTCTTAGAGGCCTTCATGAAAGGATAAAGAGAATTTAGTTTTGTGTCCTTGCCCAGGAACAGACTTGCCAGGCCTGTCCGATGCCTCTTAGGAGTCAAGATTGTCGTTTCTGGGGACTTAACTCTTCTCCGTGGATTGTGGTTATCAGTCCTTAGACAGTTGTCAGAGGTATCCCGTGTTCCCTTTGCCAACATGTGTTACTTAGCTCTCTGCTGACCTTGGCCGGTCCTCCCCAACCACCACAAATACTATATATGATGCTATGCTTCTTAAAAAACTTGCTTGGCATAAGTCACCAGCTTATGCAAGACCTCCTGGTCCCAGCTATTGCCTTTGTCTTCTTCATTTCATATCCCCAGTCCTCCCACTCAACAGTTTGCTGTGGGGGCCCCTTATCCCTCCCAATTTAGGTTAAAACACTACAACCAAGGCAACTTGTAGAAAGAAGGGTTTATTTGGGGTTTATAGTTCTAGAGGGATAGGAGGTCATGTGAGGAGCAAGGCAGAAAGCAGGCAGGCAGGCATGGCACTGAACAGCAGCTGAGAGCTCACATCTTGATCTGGAAGCAGGAGGCAGAGAGGGCACCCTGGAAGGTGCCAGTCTTTTGTTTTCTTTTCTCTTTTTTTTTTTTTTTGTTTTCGGAGCTGAGGATCGAACTTAGGGCATTGTGCTTGCAAGGTAAGTGCTCGACCACTGAGCTAAATCCCAACCCTGGTGCCAGTCTTTTGAAACCTCAAACCTAGCCCCAGTGACAGACCTCCTCCAGCAAGGCCACACCTCCTAATCCTTCCCAACCAGTTCCACCAACAGGGGATGAGCCTGTGGTGGCCATTCTCATTGAAACCACCACATATTAGTAATAACTAGTATAGGCTTCTTGGTGTCTAGCACTTCATGAAGCATTTCTCTTCTATAAAACCAAAGTTGTAACTAGGCCTAGGGGTGAATATCTTTAATCCCAGGACTCAGGAGGCAGAGACAGGTGGATCTCTGTGAGTTCAAGGCCAGCCTGGTTCCAGGACAACCAGGGTTACATAATAGAAAAGCCCTGTCTCAAAAAGTCAAGGGCTGGAGAGATGGCTCAGAGGTTAAGAGCACTGGCTGTTCTTCCAGAGGTCCTGAGTTCAATTCCCAGCACCCACATGGTGGCTTACAACCATCTGTAATGAGATCTGGTGCCCTCTTCTGTATACATAATAAATAAATAAAAATTTTTGAAAAAAAAAGTCAAAAAACAAAAAGCAACAAAGAAAAAAGGCTTAGCTAGTGCCTCGCTTTTTCACAGAAGTGAGTTTACAGGTGACCTTCCTTAGTAAAGTTTTACCTTTAACCCCAAATTGTCATTGTCTTCGTTCTCACAAACTAAAACAAAGCTTTTAAGAATGAAGAGAGGCAGGCAGTGGTGGCACAACACACGCCTTTAATCCCAGCACTTGGGAGGCAGAGGCAGGCAGATCTCTGTGAGGCCAGCTTGGTCTACAGAGCAAGTTCAAAGACAGCCACAGTTACAAAGAAAAGCCCTGCCTTGAAAAACCAAAACAAAACAAAAAAACCAACAAGGGGTTGGGGATTTAGCTCAGTGGTAGAGCGCTTGCCTAGCAAGCTCAAGGCCCTGGGTTTGGTCCTTAGATCTGGGGTGGGGGAAAAAAGACAAAATAACAAAAACCCCAACAATAACAAAAAAAAAAAAAAAAAAAGAAGAGACGTGAGGCCACAGTTCTATAATCTGTTAAATAGGACTCAGTAAAGAGTAGTCCCAAACTAGTATAGACAAGAGATTTTAGGAAATTAGTTCCAGGCACCAATCATGTTAGCAACAATTCCTTAAGCACTGACATACATGGCTTCTGGCACTTTTTAATACCAACAAGTTGACATTTCTCCCGTATAAACAAGTCAATTCTTGTCCTCTTGAACACAGTATCGTTTTTGTGAGTCCTTTATAAGGAACAGAATGTGGGATATAGCAAAAGTAACAATGCCTTCAGGACCAGGTTAGAAAAAGGTAACCCAGGGCTGGCATGTGTGGCTCCTGATAGAGCCCCTTCCTAGTGTATGCACGGTCCTGGGTTCAAGTCTCAGCATGGAAAAAACAAAACAAAAACCACACTGCAAATATCTAGACATTTATCCTTGAAATCTGAAGCTCGGGCCATATTAAGAGGCCATGTATAGGGAGGTGGAGAGATGTATCAGCAGTTAAGAACACTTGTTCTTCCAGAGGACCCAAGTTCAGTTCCTAGTACCCACATGGTTGCTCAAAACCATCTGTAACTCCTGTTCCAGGGGATCTGATACCTTCCTCTGACCTCTGAGGGTACCACACATACATAATAAAGAGGTCATGGAGGGGTGGGAGAGATGTCTCAGCAGTTCTTGCAGAGGACTGGGATACAGCTCCCAGCACCCACATGTTGACTCCATCTCTAAACTCCAGTTCCAGATGAGTCACCTTCTAACCTTTGAGGGCACCAGGCTGTACATACATATACAAAAGACACTCAAATATACATATAAAATAAAAATCTTTTAAAAAATAAAAAGGATAGGGCTGGAGATGGCTCAGAGGTTAAGAGCACCGGCTGCTCTTCCAGAGGTCTTGAGTTCAATTCCCAGCAACCATGTGGTGGCTCACAACCGTCTGTAATGAGATCTGGTGCCCTCTTCTGGCCTGCAGGCATACATGCAGGCAAAATACTGTATACATAATAAATAAGTAAATCTAATAAATAATAAAAAAATAAAAAGGACATGTGTTTCAAAGCTCCAGTAGCCCCAGCTGACAGTACTTTCAATTCCCAAGCACGTGAATAAAGGATCCTTTAAGGGGTCTTAGCTCCTGGCCTTTAAGCCACCATCAGGTGATGTTGAATGAATCAGAACAGCTGGTGGTACCCATTCAATTTATAAAGTTGGGAGCCAAATACTGGCTTAATCCTCTGGTTTTTGGTATGGCTTTTTTGTTATTTTGGTTTTTAGTGGTTGCTAGGGAAATCAAACTGAGGGCCTTGGATATATTAAGTTTGTACTGTGCAAATGAGCTACATCCTCAGTCCCTAATTTTTTTTTGTTTGCTTATTTTCATGTTTTTTTAAAGGTTTATTTAATGTGTATTAGTGGCTTGCCTGTGTGTATGAAGTGCACTACATGCATGCCTAGTGTCTTCAGAGGCCAGAAGGTGTTTGTCCTGGAACTGGAGTTACAAGTAGAGTGAAATCATCCAAGTGCTAAGAATCAAACCTGGATCCTCAGCAAGAGCAGCCTATGCTCTAAACTGCTGGGCCATTTCTCCAGGCTCTGCCTTTTATTTTTTGAGACAGGGTCTCACTATGAAGCCCTGGCTGGCCTAGAACTCACTATGTAGAGACCATGCTATCCAGGAGGTCACAGGTAGACATCTCCTGAATGTTGCAATTACAAGCTTGTGCCACCATGTCCAGCCCCAGTCCCAGCTCATTTTAATGTTATGTCTAATTACTTTTACAAGACAGAGAAGTACAAGCTTTGATTCCTTTCTGACAGATGAGACTGATGTTCAGGGTGGTGAAATTCACTCAGATTTCACTAAGTGACACTTGGTAGCTTTGAGAAAATTTATTGGGCTAGGAATGTTGTTCAGTTTTTAAGAGTACCTTCCTAGCACTGATTAGGACCTGAGCTTGACTCCAAATACTGAGTTCTGGTACCTAGCATGCCTGAGCTCTGGGTCTCTAACTCAGCACCTGGGTGTAGGTGCCTGCTGTACTCCATAATGAGAGAATTATTCTTATTTTCTCTCAGCTTTAAGAATCTAGATCCCGACGGGCGGTGGTGGCGCATGCCTTTAATCCCAGCACTCGCAAGGCAGAGCCAGGCGGATCTCTGTGAGTTTGAGGCCAGCCTGTTCTACAGAGCGAGATCCAGGACAAAACTACACAGAAAAACCCTGAACCCTGTCTTGAAAAAAAAAAAATTATAGATCCCGCTTGTGAAGGGGCTGTCTGTAGGTGCCATGTTAGGCTGTGAAGGTGGCAAAAAGAAGCCCCTGAAACAGCCCAAGGAGATGGACGAGGAAGATAAGGCTTTCAAGCAGAAACAAAAAGAGAAGAAACTCAAGAAGCTAAAAGCCAAGGCCGTGGGGAAGGGATCCCTGGCCACAGGTGGAATTAAGAAATCTGGCAAAAAGTAAGCTGTTTCTCATATCTGAGATGATGGTGACCCTCTTCCATTCCTATTTAAACATCTGGATTCCCTGCCATAACATCTTTGCCACCTACAGCTAGAATGAAGTGTTAACCTGGAGCCTGTTAAACATCTGGATTCCTTACTATAATAACATCTTTGCCACCTATAGTTAGAATGAAGTGTTATCCTGGAGCCTGTTGTACATTTTAATAAACTGTTGTTAATAGAAAAAAAAAAATCTAGCCAGGCGGTAGTGGTATAAGTCTTTAATCCCAGCACTCGGGAGGCAGAGCCAGGTGGATCTCTGTGAGTTCAAGGCCAGCCTGGTCTACAGAGCGAGATCCAGGACAGGCACCAAAATTACACAGAGAAACCCTGTCTCAAAAATAAATAAAAAATCTAGATCCCAGTCAGGCGGTGGTAGCAAATACCTTTGATCCCAGCACTCTGGAGGCAGAGGCAGGGGGATCTCTGTGTGTTCTGTGAGGATTGCCAGGGCTACACCGAGAAACCCTGTGTGTGTTGGGGGGGAATAAAGAAGAAAAGCAACCACTTTTCTTTTCCCACACTGTGTCTTTGCATAGGCTTTATTAATTTTTTTTTTCAGCCGGGCATGGTGGCACACAGCTTTAATCCCAGCACTTGGAAGAGGCAGGCAGATCTTTATTAAGTTATAGGTCAGCCTGGTCTACAGAGTTACACGACAGTCAGGGCTGCTACAAAGAGAAACCCTATCTCACAAAAAAAAAAAAAAAAAAAGTTTTTTCAAAGAGTCTTTATGCAGATTATCTAAGGCTTTCCCCTCTCGTTGCCAAATTTAATCTTTATTACTACTATTACCGTCTGGCAAACCAAGCTAAAGATAAATACATTCCTAACTCTGTACAGCCTACATTGCAGTGGAGATTCAGGCCTAAGTCTTCTGTCTCTTGTAAGCAGTTCTGGAGGCACACACCTGTAATCCTAGCCCTTGGGAGGCCAGTAAGGGTTACATACTGAAACCCTGTCACAAAAGATAGTTTGTGAGAAAGACTTTATTAATAATTTCAAAGGGGGGAAATTACTTTTGTTGCCATGGCTCACAGAAAGAAAGCTAAGTAGTTTCCCAAGTAAAATAAATGATGTTCAAATGCTATGTTGCCCACGCTGGCTTTGAACTCCCGGTCCCAAGCTCCACAAAATTAAGATTACATGCTTAGGCCAACATGCTCAGCCTCCATGTTCTTTAGAGAGAAAAAACTAAGTCTCCCTCCACGCCCAAGAAACATCTACTGTAGGCAGTCCCACCGTGCAGAAACAGCTCAGCATTCTCAAGCAGACCAGGGTCACAAGTGACCTTCCCAGAGCCGCCGTTCTTGGATTATTTAGTTATATGCGTATCTGTATCCCCATCAGCTTGAGTTTCGGGACTCCGGCAAAGGCTAAGCGCCCGATACCGGCCATCTATTTTCCCCCAGATACTTAACTCTTCCCTTCCCATGCAGGGTAGAGCAAGATTCAGGTTGTTCATTGGAGATACAATTAATTTGTCAATATTCTTCACGTAGTATCAAAAATAATTGCGGCAAACTTGCGTATTAATGCACCAGCCCTTATGGCTAATTCTCTTCTAGTAACTTGAGGAACAAGTTTTTTTTTTTTTTGGCGGGGGGAGAATCAGGGCGCTCAGAGCTTTACCCTAGATCACGCCAATAGTAAACACAAACACAACACCGCTATGGTCTTCTAACTGGCTCCTGCTGCCCAAGCTCCAGATGTGACCCAGCCTGGTGACAGCCAGCGACCGGACGAAGCCCACCCACCCAGGCCACCCGGCTCGCGCCGGCGTGGCGCGGGTCCCGGACAGCGCGCTACTGGCTCCGCCCTTCCCGACGCGTGGGAACGGGGCGCCCTTCCTTGAGCTGCCCACAGCGGCCGCCTGAGCGTTCGGGCGCAGGTTCCCGCAGCCCCCGTCGGGACCACTTCCCCTCGGCCATCGTGCCTGTCTGGCTATAGCGCTCTCGCCGTCCGGCCCACGCAGAGCTCAACCCGGAGCGCGCCGTACAGTGCGGCTTTTCCGACAGGCACCGCCGGGGACACCCCAGGTCCTGGGCGCTGCGAGGGCGGTGCCAGGGCCCGCGGTGCGCGACGGGGGTTATTAGGGGGAGGGGGCGGAGAGCTACGCCGGAGGGCCGGGCCGCGGTTACGGCGGCTGAGGAGAGCCAGCCCGAGCGGATTGGGGGGGGCGCAAGCACAGGCCGCGGGCAGCGGCGCCGGGCCTGGAGCGAGCGCGGGGGGGACGCGGCGGCCAAAGCGCGGGGCCGCCCGGCGGCGGGCGCTCCGAACAAGGGTACGGCAAGAGCGGGGCCCCGGCCTGCGGGCGAGGACGGCGCGCTGCCCCGGGAGCGCGGGCGGCGGGGCGCGCGCAGGGGGCGGCAGAGGCGCGAGGCGCGCGGGCGGCCGGCGGGCAGCAGGCGGGCCTGCGCCGGCTGTAGGCGGCCGGCCTGTGGACTTGGTCCCTGCTCCCTCCGGCCCGCCTCTCTCTGTGAGTATCGCCCCCGCCCTTCTTCCCGAGGAGGCCTCTGGCCCGGGGCCTGCGCGAGGGGCTGGGGGTTGGTTTAAGGAGCGGAGTTTCCCAGGGGAGGCCCGCACCGGACCTTCCCTAGCCGCGGACGCCCCTCACATGGCCACAGGTGTGGCCGGCTGAGAGAGGTGCGCCCGGGCGGCTTCCCCAGCCTCATCCACTGGGGTAATAAGGGGCAGCTGGTGCCATCCATTGACAAGTGACAGGCACTTTCCAGCAGTCTGACTTCCCGGATCGGCAGCCTAACCAGTCCTGCCCCTACTCTACTCCGGGAAACTTCACCAGCACCGCCTGGTCGGTTCTCGTGGCAGTGACTATTTTGGTTTCTCTTTGTATTAAAGATAATTAAAGGTTGTACCCTGAGTTGGGCCCCTTCCACTTCTGCTTTCCTTATGCTGTGGATCCTCAATACTTAAGGTGGTTCTTTTTCCAATTTAGTTCTGGTTCATACCATAATTTTGGGGTGGATTTCTTTACACAACTATTTAGAATTTTTTCCCCTCAAAGTTTGTTTCATAAGCAGCTAAGGTTTCTGAATATTTATTGTTCCCTTTGACAATTTTGTGCTGAAATTTATCTTCCCAGGTGCAAAAAAATTGTATACCAAGAAGCCATGGAGAAGAGAAGTGTGGATGAAACAGAAAATGGAGATGCTTTCTTTGACCTAAAGAAACTGCCCACCTCCAAATCCCCCCATCGCTATACAAAAGTAAGTTCTGTTACTGATGAAGTAGTAATGTGTAGCTATTTCATTGGAGTTATTTCAAGTGGTAGTCACTGGAGACTAAATAGTAATCAGTTTGGTCATTTTCTTGGAAGTGTGACTACTGGGTTTAAACTGTAGGTTTTAGGTGAAAGGCTGTTTTCTCAGACCCTGTATGAAATTTGTAGATAAGTATGTGTTTGCACTCAGATGTTCTGTAACAGTTGTGTGATTGGGTAGAATGGGATCAGGTGAGGATTCCAGTTCTGGGATGCTTCACAGGATCAGTGTCTTTTGTATTGATGTTTCCTTGAAAGTCCAATTTCTGTAGGAGTGGCATGGTCAGGAGTAATTGTGGACTTTTTAGTCCGTTTTTTTTTTCTCTTTTGTTGTAATTCAGATATGAACTCAACAAATGCAAGCCTTCATTCATTATATATTGTATATTATTTTCTATTGCTTAAGAATACATAGTGATTTTAAGCTTCCTGTTTTTGTTTTTGGAGACATTGTTTACCTATGGTACTCTCTCACTTCAGCCTCTTGAGTGTGAAGCTAGAGGTGTGCACTACTACAGCTGGTTTTAAACTGGTCGTCTTGCTGTCTTCCCTAGCTCAGGAACCACATCAAGATTTTGTACACTTAGTAAAGATAATAGCAGCTGTGTCGTATTGGCTGCTAAGTGTTCCTGAACAGATTAACAAGTTGTGGTAAACTATAAGTTCATTTCTGGCTTTCTAAAATGCCCTGGGCTAGAGTATATGAAACGTTCCTAAAGTGGAAAGTCTAGGGATTGTGTTGGAGCTGAGCCCATGTCTGTATTTCCTTAGTATGAACACCTTCATGAATTCCAGCATGGCTTATTGTCCCTAGCCTCCTTTACTTAGTAAAGCTGGGCCTTATTTGTGTACTGCCTTTACTGTTCCTTAACTGATAAAGTATCATGTGGTAATTTTCAGCGTTAGAGGAGAGAGAACGAACGGATGGATGAATGATGAGGTATGCACGGGAGGGAATTTTTAGCGTAACATGAGTTCTTGATTGAGTGCTTTCCTATCAGCCAGTTGTAGACCAGACCAGGCACCTCCACCTCCCTAGCGCTGGGATTAACCAATTTGTCAGAGAGCTTTTGGTTGTGAGCCTAGCCTTGAATGGCTGAGCCATCTCTCCAGCCCATCAGAGAGCTTTTGAACTGTATTTAGATTTTGTCTTCCAAATGTAAGTGCTCTCATGCTTGAGAAGTGCTCCACAACTTAAACTCATTGCCTAAAACGTTGGCAGGTGAATTCTGAATGTATCAGATGAAGGGAAATGGCTTTGAACTACTTACAAGGGTATGTGATTCCAAATTTCCTAGTTCTTGTTTGGTTTTTTGAAGTAGTCTCTTCTGTGGAAAACTGACAAATGATGTTTGTCAGGTAGCTGAGATACAGAGCTGCTCTCTGAGGTTGAGCGTGGCCTCTGCTATGCTTTCAAGTATAGGAAGTCAAGTTAAAGTTACATGGTGTCTTCACACCAACATTTAAGCCTCTGTGACAGTTAACCAGGATATTATAAATGGGTTGATCGTGTGCTTCTGTCATCCTGGAGGGGCTTAAGTCATTGATATTTAATTTCTGATCTGTTTTGCTAAGCTGTGTTCCCAAGAATGAAAGCTACGTTTTGCAGTCAATACAATGGTACACACCTTTAATAACAGCTCTCAGGCGAGGCAGGTGGGTATCTGTGAGTTCAAGGCCAACCTGATCTTCATAGTGATTTCTAGGACAGCCAGAGCTACATGCTGAGACCCTGTCTTGGAAAAAAAAAAAAAAAAAGAAGGAAAGTAAGCCTTAGAGAAGAGTAAGATTTAAATTCCAGGTAGAAGTCAGGAATGAGATGATCCGTTTCCTATACAAAAATCATCTTTGATAATTTTATATGTATCTTCCATAAGCAGTTGAGTGGTAACCTCTGACAGGTAGCTTTTGAGTGCTGTATTTAAGCCAGCATAAAAATAAGGATGCCTATTTTGAGGAAAGCAGAATTAGGGTGTGAAAAATCATTATCCGATCTTAATATGTCAGCTCTCCAGAATATATAGCTAACTGGAAGTTCTTAGCTGGTTGGCAAGGCCATAGGTACTGGGTTCTGACTGTTGTTTCCTGCTTTTTCCATTTTAGCTCATCTTGAAAAGTTGGGACTCCGGTTCTTTGACCCTATGAGTATTCTCCAACTTGCCCAGCATGATAGGAACTTTACCTATATAAGAAGCCAGTCATTGCACATAGAAATTTGTAGAGGGAACCTTTAATTCAAGAAAGGGTGCTGTAATGGGATATTGGGCTTAAGGGCAACCTACCCAAGAAGGTGGGAGTTTGGCTGAGAGTTCCCAGTAGTTCAGCTAGACAGGAGCAAGTCTGGTAATTAGTGGCACAGCTTCGGAAAGGGGTGATGCACCTTCTTGTCCATGAAAGTTTTGGAGAAGGAAAGAGAGGCTAAGGATTGTTGCGTGCCACTAATGGACTGGATTACTACTTTACCTTTAACCCGTGTGACCTTCAGTATGACACTTGGCTTCTCTTTTTTTGTTTGTTTGTTCGTTTGTTTGAGACAGGGTTTCTCTGTGTAGCCCTGGCTGTCCTGGAACT